CTTTCAATTTTTAGTTATTTTTCTGTTCATAATACCTTAGTCTCTTAAAGCCTCCCATCCTAGAGACACCATGCCACCTCCCCTCCTTGAATTCTGCTGTTCAAGGGGAGGCTCTTGGGCCATGTTTATCCTCTGGGCTGTAGACTTGGGGTCACTAGAAAGGGAGTGGCTAGAAATCAGTTGGACTGTGCATGACTGCAGGACAACTGCCCATTCTGTGCCAGGAAAATGTTTTAACTGAATTCAGGGAGTTAGTCTCCTCCTGACATAGACCTTTGTCCTGTCTCCCCCCCCCCCCACCCCCGCCTTTTATTACCACAGCAGTTTCGAGCCAGAGGGAGAGGCTGGGGCAGAGGCAACTACTCTGGTAATAATAACAACAACAGTAACAACGATTTTCAAAAGAGAAGCCGTGAAGAGGAATGGGATCCAGAGTATACACCCAAAAGCAAGAAATATTACTTGGTAAGTGTCTGGGACTAACAAGGAGGGTTTTTGGTTCACACAGTAGCAGATTCCAAGGCCTTCATTGGTCTGCCTAATCCTGTAATTAAATGTTTGTGCAGGCACATTGCACTGGTGATGTGTACTTGTTAGACAGTACAGTGCTAGATATGGCTGTCCTCTACAGGTGTCAGTCCTGGTCCCCATAGGGATGGTCATTTAGGATGCTTACGGGTTCAAGGATAAGCAAGAAATGTTGTTCTTGCCTTTTTAGTTTGTGAACTTCCTTTACTTTTCACTAACCCCCAGCTTATGTCACTCCCAGTGCAAGGTTAACAGGAAAAGACAGCTCAGAATCTCTGAGGAAAAGGATATGAAAAATGAAACACCACTGGGGCTTCTCACATCTAAGCTGTCAGTTATTCCCGTGTTGTTCTGGGCTTCTTATGTTGGGGCCTTTCTAGGCCAAGTTACTGGCTAGTGAGTGAGGACCCTTGGCCTGCTATATATCACAGCAGGCCCATATCCAAGCAGGTGTGACTCAGTATATGTGCTGCCGAAGCAAGCATAGCAGGTGTGACTGAGTATTGTAACCAGGGTAAACTTGGCGACCGTCTGCCATTTGAATGGCTGACATGGGTTTGCATCATCGAGTTACATTTGGAAATTCAGGATTTTGTGTGAATGATCGTGCGTGGCCACCCTCATTTTTCTAGGGCTGCTGGGAGCCATTCATTAGTTGGCTGGGCCCAGTATAGATGGTGAAGTGGCACTGCTGTTTAAGGGAAAAATTAAAGGCCACAGAATGACCCTCTAGCCTGCCCCCGACTGTCCCCTGAGAGGTTTGCCAGCCTGACTTTTTCGTACAGTGTACATGCGGTTGTGCACAGAAGCAGCTGGCACCTCCGCTAAGCTGACCTGTAGGGCAATAGAGCCCTAGTTGATGTGAGTCGATGGTTTAGACTGAAGTAATGGGCAGATGAAGTAACAAGTTCTGGTTTGCAAAATGCTTACCTTTTCATGGGATCCTTTCTTTTATCTCATGAGAGAGCAACAGAACAGGGCTTGTTTGAGGTGTGGGTTTGGTGTTTTTTCTGCTCTGCCACCCTGCCTCTTTGTATAAAACTAAAGGGGGGAATACAAGATGAGAGACCAGGTGGGGTGGAAGTGAGGAAGAGCTGGAGCCCAGATATGCTGACCCCCTGCCTCCACCTCGCCCGTGTGCCAGGGCTTAAACCTTGGCCTTCTACGTGCTAGGCACACCATACCCCCAATTCTATCCCAGCTGTGTCTTCTGAATGTTCCCTTTCTTAGCTGCCCAGAAACCCAGTTCAGACAGCATTTCACATTTTAGTGCATTTGGCTTTCTCAGATTAATCCTTTGAAAAGTGATATGTTAGGTTTGGCCCTGTTTTCTCATTTGCATAGTGGGGATGATAATGATGGGGTAGATTTGAGGAATAAATAAGATACAGTTGTTTTCAGTGCTGGATGGGGTTATTGTTAAAGTGTTCAGGCTACTGCCTCAAAATTCCTGCGGCACCCGCCTTACATTCTAGATCTGAACCAGAGGCAGAGCTGAACAAGTAGGCAACAGGGAGGAGAAGAGTCGAACACAAAAAGACTGGGCTTAGGCACAGATTCTTCGGGAGAGAGGCACGTCTAGTTGGGCACAGAAAAAAGAACCGTGTGACTGACTTACGTTTTTCTTCCCTCAGCATGATGATCGAGAAGGTGAAGGCAGTGATAAGTGGGTGAGCCGAGGCCGGGGCCGAGGAGCCTTCCCCCGGGGTCGGGGCCGGTTCATGTTCCGGAAATCCAGTACCAGCCCCAAATGGGCACATGACAAGTTCAGTGGGGAGGAAGGGGAGATTGAAGATGATGAGAGTGGAACAGAGAACCGAGAAGAGAAGGACAATTTACAGCCCACAACTGAGTAGGGGCCACTCTTGATGAGAGCCCTTGCCCAGGGGAGAGAGGCACTGGGAAGATGGCTGGTGAGGAGCTGAACAGAGGAGCCTCAAGAAGATTCTGAAAATCCCACCCCACCCCCACCCCGTCAGCCATGTAGAATCCTACAACACCGGAAAGCATCCCTGGTGCTGTGTCCCACTGGACAGAGGAGGCCGCCGCAGAGCCTGGGGTCAGGCCCAGCTCTCAGCAGAAAATGACATGTTGGGCTCTAGCTGTGTTTCTCATTTGTTGTTGGTATATGGGGTGGGGACTAGGGGAGGGGAGGGAGAGCAGTGCTTGATTTTGGTTTGTTTGCTATTAGAAACCCAACAGTTTTTCATTTTCATTTTATTTGGAGCTAAGAGAACTAATTTGATGATTTTCAGTCTCTTCTCCCCAACCTGATTTAAAAGGCCCCCCTTTTTTTTTTCTTTTCTTTTTTTAGGTATATGTAGTAATAATATTAGCAGAAAGATTTAATTTGGGCAATTTTGATTCTTAAAAGAGAAAGCAAAGCATGTGAATAAACATTGAAGTGTTCACCTCAGTTTGGGACCAAACTGCTTGGATCTTTGTAAAATCTGGTTTTGTATGTCAAGGAGGAGTTTAAGGCCTTTCTGACCACCTTGTGTTCCCCTTTTCTGCGCAGCCATGTGTCACATGGAGTTGCTCCTAACCACTTCCCACGCACCCTCCCTGCTCCTGTATTTTCTGATTTCTTCTGGGCTGGGCTTCCCCTTCTCCACCAGCAGCTCCAGTGTCCCAAACTTTCTAGTCCTGATGATCCTCAGCAACAGGGGTGGAAACTGGAGGGCAGTTTCTGGTCGGTTTTCTAAGATACTTCTGAATTCTATTATCTTTACAGATATAAGATGAGAAAATAATTTTTTCAATATTTTTTATTAATCTTTTTATAAAATGAAAGAAACGCCTGTGATCAATTAAGGAAGGTGGTTATGCCTGGGTGGTTCTTGGGGTTGTGTTTTTTTTTTTTTT